CAGCATACGACATTTTACTAATATTTATTTTCTAAATCTTCAAATATAAACATAACTTACATTTTTGTGCAGGAGGTACATTAGCTTATAAAGATAAACTGTGATCTGAAAGCCAAATTTCCAGGGACATCCCTTAAATATAAAAAAAAAATACATGTTATATGTTTGTTCTATTTCATGACGTAAGAGGTTAAACTGTGACATAACGACATAATTCATAACGGCGAACCAACTAAATATATCAGTTTATGATTGAAAATCTAACATGCAATGAGCATTGAATAGGCAAAGTTTTCTTCATTAACACGTAAAATGTAAAATGCCAGCACCTGATTGATCCGGTTTTTCGTTACCACACAATAAGAGTCATACTGGTCATTCTGGTTATACTTAATGGAATCTTTAAAAAAAATTCACGATCACTGCAATACATTTAAAATGTTTTGAATCGATAGCTACGTCAGTTTTATATTGAAATCGGATCAACATTTATCGAAATTTAAATTTAAATATGTTTATTGAATAAAATAAATTTATTACATCATAAAATGAAACTGCTTAGGCCATAGAGTTCAAACAATATATTCCCAGGGGAGTGCAATTACGTTACATGGATATACGAAGATGTGGTATGAGTGCCAATGAGACAACTCTCCATCCAAGTCAAAATTTATAAAAGTAAACCATTATAGGTCAAAGTACGGTCTTCCACATTGAACCTTGGCTCACACCGAACAGCAAGCTATTAAGGGCCCCAAAAATTACTAGTGTAAAACCATTCAAACGGGAAAAACAACGGTCTAATCTATATAAAATACGAGAAACACTTATGAACCACATCAACAAACGACAACTACTGAACATCAGATTCCTGATTTAGGACAGGTGCAATCAATTGCAGCGGGTTTAAACATTTTAAAAGTACCAAACCTTTACCCGTATCTGAAACAATAGTGTAACATCACAACATAGAAAAACACACTATACAATATCAATTGAAATGGCTTTACTCAAACAAAAGACATATTAACACAAGTGAACATACACTTAACAAATAAATTTTATCTATGATACAATGCAAATTCAAAATAAAAAAAATAAGGGAAGAATAACTAAAGTAACATGTTATACCGCTGTGAAATATTAAACAATTTAGGAAAAACAATATACTTGAACAAAAATATCAGCCATTTGCAATTTCTTTAAACACATGTAAATAAAAATACTTTTATTGCTCATATAGTATAAATGTATTCTGTGTAATAGTATGTATTGTAAATTGGCTGATTTAAAGGTTTGATGTGCTTATAAACAATAACATTCATTTTGACATCTCATTCGAACTCTATTTCTTTATTCGGGATGGAGGATGACTATCCTAATAACTGGCCACTTATAGACATAATCTGAACGTTTATTATTGAGAACCTTTACGGTTAGTTTGTTGTTGCATTCATATGAAGCAGAATTCACATAACGAAAGACAATTACTAACACTCGCAAATACTTCAGCGAAGTCTTTCATCTCAAATGTCCTTGCGAATTTTGAATCATAGTAACTTGATCTTCCCCATGAAATTGAGATATTTAAACAATTTAAAACTAGAGCATATGAAATACGTGCCTTTTTTATAATGTTCCAATTGTTATCATATCGTAGAGCAATAGTAGCATATCAACTTCACTATCGTGTGGCGTTCGTATATCTTAAATGATACTCTATGTCAGAAAGTTTGACTTAATCTGTATCATTATTATATAGTTTACTATGTCAATGTATCCGGTGTTACTACATTTGACAGTTTGGTGATTATTTTTATTAGAAATGGATTGACGAGTTGGAACATCAATAAACGATTCTATCTTCTTATCTAACTCATTTTAATTTCATTATATCGCTTTCTAAAATACCTGTAATTTGAGACAAAATTTCTGAATTCATGTAAGATATTTTTCAGATATATATTCTTAGTGTTCCTTCTGAACTGACTTTAAATAAAGCTAATACTAACAATTAACACTGCCCTTTCCTGGATCTTGATATCTATATCTTTAACGGGAAGCTTAATACCAAAATGTATGATCAAAGAGATGATTTTTCATTTTCTATTTTTAATTATCCATTTCTTGATGGTGATGTGCCCTTGTCACCATCTTATGGTGTTTATATATCTCAACTTGTTCAATTCGCTCGTGTATGTAACAACGTATTTGATTTAAACAAAAGAAATCTCTGTATAACTGAAAAATTATTACACCAGGGTTTTTTTATATCACAAACTTGTCAAAACATTTACTAAATTTTATCATCGGTACAAGGACATCATTCGTAAATATGAATCAACATGCAGACACCTTATACGTTCAGGTATTTCACATCCCATTTTTTATGGTAATATTCTAAACAACATGAACAAAGCACAACAATGTCGACATTCACCTCAAAAGCTAACTTAACCTTTTAACAGACTTATTCAGAAGGGATATTGTTATGATACTGTTGTCAGTTCATTAAAGATGGCATATTTTGGTATTAATATTGATTCACTCATAGGGTCTTTGCATCGGAAATAAACACATTTATTCTATAACCAGTTGTTGGCATGATACGGGTTATGTTTTTCTCATATATTTTATGATGGTATGATTCTAAACCCCTAATGGCAGGGATTGTGCTTGATTTTTATATGATGAAGACAATCTTTCAATCAGTTTAATCGAGGTCTGGAGTTTGCATGTCAGTAACTGCTAGTAGTCCCTTGTTAATTGTCATTTTGCTTAGTTTCTAAAAATACCTTTTCTGACATCGGACTCGGACTTCTGCTTAAATGAGTTCTACTGTGCGTATCACTGTGTGTTTGTTTATTCTACATTGGCTAGAGGTATAGGGGGGTTGAGATCTCACAAAACATGTTTAACTCCGCCGCATTTTTGAGCTTGTCACAAGTCAGGAGCCTCTGTCCTTTGTTAGTCTTGTATTAATTTTAGTTCATGTATATGTTTTGGGGTTTAGTGTGACGTCCATTTTCATTGAACTAGTACACATTTTGTTTAGGGGCCAGCTGAACCCGCCTCCGGGTGTGGGATTTTCTCGCTGTGTTGAAGACCCATTGGGGGCCGTCGGCTGTTTTCTGCTGTTTAGTCATGTTGTTGTCTCTTTGACACATTCCCCATTTCCATTCTCAATTTTATTAGTGTTAGATTCAATGTTTCTTACAATTTATTATTATTATTATAAATTAGGTTTGTCATGAGATTCTAACAATGTCACTGTGTCTTTGTTTTAAATACATGTCTCTAAACACTTATGAAATAGATCTAACAAGCATATACGTATATGTATGACAAGGCCATGTTAAGAGATTTGAATTCATAACATTCACGAAATGCGAATTGTAACGGCAAGAATAAAAGCAATTTGATTCAAACACTTAGTACTCCTCAACCTCACACCAAAGTACCGATTGACATACATAGAATAGAATAAAAAAAAATGATAAGTTATTCTCCAAATGTATAAGATAAGTCAAGAGATTCTCACAATGTTACTATGAAATCTTTTTAAATATAACTCTCTGAATCCTTATGAAATAGACATAAAAACACAGGGTATTTACACGACTAGCTCTTATTAAGCATATTGCATGCATCAGTCACAAAATGAAATTTGTGACATCAAGAATAAAGGCGCTCTACTAATTTTGTTCAAAGAACAAACAACCACAAAATTGACAAAAACAGTATGAAATAAAAACCGTATGAAATAAAATAAAGGCATGCACACTATAGAACTGTTGAAACTCGTGAGAATCATTTGAAAATTCTTATAATTACCTGATGTTAAGTCGAATCTTTAATTAATGTAACAATTTCACCATGGACTAGACAAAATTCACTTAAGGGGCAATACCTACGATAAATGAACAAATAAAATATGATTTTGATTTCGTTCATTATTAATGAAAGTGAAATGGTGAAATAAAATTTCGCTGTTAGCAGCCATTTTGATTTAACTTTGTCGAAATAAGCTAAGAAACATTGCTGATGATTAATTCACTTGCAAATGAATAATGCGACCTCATTGAGTCTGTATTCAGGTGACCTTCTATTTAATCACTTCGGAAGAGATGGGTTACGCATGAACAAGGCGTATTCATCTATTTAAAGGAAAATTCTGTCAACGTTTAAATTGAAACAAGGGTAAACCATTTATTTGACTAATTCCATCCATAAAAACTCATTCTTATGCAGGTAAAAAAGGGTTAATATTTGTTTTACCTACAATAAGAAATCAAATAGATCTAAACAAATCAAATTGCACGTGTTTGCGATCTATTATATCTATATTTTTGTTTATATCGGGTAATATGACCATCGGCAGTCTTCGATGTCATCTCGACGGTTATTTAGATGGTATCTAGACTAAAATACACACGAAATGCGGATACATATTATCGAGTCCATGCAATGTTAATTGTTTATCTGAGACTTTTTGAAAGTTGGATATACGTTTTAGTAGGTTATAAATCAAATATGAGAATTGAACAAGAACAAGAATTTGACTGGTAATGCCCCTTTAAGGACTTCTTCGAGTAAGGTTTTCTGTTAATGTGTCATACTTTATGCGAACGTAAATTGAGTATACGTCAATCATCATGTATTGAACATTATTTAAAAAATAGTATATTTAGGATGTCAATAATAAGTAAGATATAAAGAAAGTGAGGAATTATCAATTCTTTACTCACAGTATTTTTGTGTCTTCTCTTAAACCTTTTTCGTACTTCAATTTGAATAAAATACATATAATGTCTCTGTTGTTCGTGGTCTGTCTTTATACAATTAACATTTCACTTCAAAATATCGTTATACCTGATAAAACACAACTTTAAGTTAAATGCTTGTAATTATTTTACTAGTAGGTAAACTACACAACTTTGTTTTTTTAAACTTGAATCGATTTTATGACATGTATGTATTTAGTTTTAACGTTTGACAAACTAATTGGAGAAGACACTTTTGAACATGATTAAGTTGTGTAACGTATTTTCGGAATAGACGTTATGCTACATCCATAAGGAGGATGTTTCTATATATACTAGGCATATCAAGTTTATGCATGAAATGTAAGTTTATTCTTTTACTTTTAATTGGTAACTGAAGATCATCATGTAAAGCATTTCGATCAGCATTTCCTATATATCGTACACCATTTCTAGTACATCATACAAATATTTTGAGAATTAATTGATTCAAATGTGCATTGATCTGTGCTAAGAAATGCATGCATATCGGACATTTATCAAAAAGATAAAACTATATATAAAATAATAAAAAATTACAATCATTCGTAGAGCTTCCGATAACCGTCATTAAGAAAAGTAAACATGAAGACCTCTTGAAAAGGTGTCTTCAGAACTCCTTTTGCAACTTTTTATTTATCGAGCTCAATGTAAAGCGACCTAATTTCCATTTCCTTTAAATTTTAGTCTCACGAAGTGTATTCTAATAGAAAAATATTGTGTTTTGAATGACAGTCATACTATTGTTCATATGACATATGCTATTTACAAAATATATTCATGTTTTTAATACAAAATTGAAAGTCTTTTTTAAAAACAAAATTATGGGCCCTCAGGCTTCCTCTGTAATGTTTTCTTTTTCAGATAGTTGTTCCTGTTTTATGTTATATTCCAAGCTATAAAAAAAATGGAAAGCAATAAGAAATTATGGACAAATAATGACAACATGTGCTTCTTAAAAAGAAATTTCGAGTTTGCAGAAAATAACATTTATCATTCAATCATTGTTTTAAGAGAAATTGTAAAAGCTGCTGATAAAAAAAGTTCGGGTATTTTGTTGTTTATTGTTTTATGCATAGATCGGGACATTGTTTTTTTTTCGCATTTTACTGTTGCATTTATTTTTCAGTCAGTCTCTCCTGTAGCGTCCATGTCTGCTTGACATGGGAAGCTAAAAAAGAGAACATAACTTTCAAATGTAAAGTTAGCAAGTTACTATTTAAAGTTTACTTTCTTAATCCGAAAAACGAAGAACAAGGATACTGTATAAGCCCTATACCAGTCCCAGAGTGTTATTCGTCACATAATGTTATTACGCAGGATCGACAAACAAACACAACTGTCCTTGTAATACAAAGGCACGTAGATAACAAACTCAATGGACCTTGGAAATGTTATCATGGTACAAACGTAGATGCGGCAATTATTAATGTTACAGTCATAGAAAAAGGTAATATTCCTTCATCTGTTCGATCATAAAGGAACATTGTTGAATGCTTCGACTAAACATTTAAAAATTAAGATAAATGTTATCAACTTGGCAAAAACAGATATTCAATTGACTAAGGTTATATGACCAGATACCAACAAGAATTGTGAATGAATCTGTAAGTTATTCAATTGTCACATTTTTCAGTTTTTCCGTTATTTCATTTTATATTTCAATTTATGTTTCTTATTTCTTTCCCCCAAAAAAATCTCCGTTTCAATAGTTGTCGTGAAAATTATTGATGTTGTGGTAGGAAGTATGTCATATTTTTGTTAACGAAAATTGATGAAGCACATTCATACATGTTGTCCTTTCTACAAAAAATGTTGTAGTTGTGTAATATACCTAATACCACATTAGTGTAACCACCTTTTCCATTCAGACCTATAAGTTCTCATAAAAGTGAAAAATAGTAAATTATTTAAAGATTAACCTGTACCGTTCGTAGACTCTTTTTGTTTATATGCCAAGTTTATCAGTATTACATTACTTAAACCTAGACAAAACGGTTACCTTAAATGTCAGCCTGGAAATTCGATAAACCCTAAATGTATTGATGATAACCACATAACCCAAGATCTGTAAGAGTACATGCAATCTAAGTCTTTTTTCATCTTGCTATAATACAAAAACATATACACTTTACACAAGTATTTGCCACGCAAACCTTACAGAAAAATTTTAAAAATTGGTCCCACTTTGTAAAACCCATAATGACAGCTGTAGATACATATAACTATATTTAGGACTGATGAATCATACTGAGTCGAAAGCTCTCTGATTCAAACTATAATTGTTCTAAAACTTACATTGTCAAGACGCTAGACTTCTTCCTGGAAAAGATACTTGTTACATTTTATTGACATATCTCTTAACAAGAAATCAGTATTTCTATAAGAACCAAATGTGTTCCTCAGCTTGCCAACTTGTTACTTTATTTATATGAAACTGACTACGTACATGATATTCTTATAATGAATGAAAAAAAGCTAGCATTATCATTCATTTTAACGTTCCGCTATAAAGATGGTTTCCGCTTACTAAATAGCTTAGATTGTGGTGACAATGTTTAATGCATCGATACAATTGATTTTTAAATAAAGAATATCACCGATACAGTAAAATTTGCTGCATATCTTGACTTTTATTAAAAAATTGACATTAGGGTATGTTGACAACAAAACTTAACGACAAAAAAAGGTTATTTTGGTTGCCCTATTACGAACTGGTTGTTTCATATATGACGACGATAATGTTCCAGTTGTCGTAACCACAATTCCATTTTCTTTCCCTTTTACTAGAAATCACCAAATCGGACTTATCACACAATTTGTATTTACCTCAGCAACACGAAGGTTGTCATATATTGAGCAGGATCTGCTCACCCTTCCAAAGTACTTGAGATCAAACCCAATTGTGGGGTCGTGTATTTAGGTTTATTAAGATGCGTTTGGTAGATTGTTGTTTGTCTTTTCTTTGTTTTTTTTCATTTTGCAATAGGTGTGTTACGTGTAATTTGTCTTCGACATAAACGTTTGAACAACCCTTTGGTATCTTCTACTAGGTTTTCTATGACCGTATAGGATATTTGAAATATTTCAATCAGCTATTCATTGCATATATTGAACCCAATGACTACAGTCATGATTTTGTTTTTAATTTCACTATCTATCAGGAATAACCTTTTTTTGTTGTTACATTGACTTATGATGATAGTCAAGTTATTCCTTGAATGTCAATATTTTTTTTTTGTTCACAGCAAATTGGGTTTGCTTCTCTTTCAAACAAGTATGTACATTTATTTGTGGAATGGTTAGATAATGAGTTAAAATCATGTGCTCTAACATTGATAGCTTTTATCTTGGATAATATTGGGTATGTTTGAAAAGGGTGTTGGTCATATTATTTGAAGCCTTATATGCATTGCATATTTAATAACAAAATATCGATAATCGCAAACGATGTTTTACTATAACGTTCCTAACTGCATAATCATATTTATTCACCAATGACTAGAAATTACTTTCCTGATAACGTACAAATAAGTTAAAATATATATATACAAGAGTAAACAAAATGATAACACAATTAAAATCGTGCATCGAATTGTACTGCTACACCCAGCAGCACAATGGACATCCAATCTTTAAGTTAAGACTATCGTGTAATATTTGTGAAATAGGCACTGAATATTCATCTAATAGGTCTTCATCGTCTTGGTACTTTCAGATAAACTTTTTGGAAAAAGGTCTAGACGTTTCTGGACAAAACACTCACTCATTATTGTTTTACTCACAAAATCGATGATGTAAAACAAATTCTGAGTAATAGCTGAAAGCTCTTGAATATCGTTCAAGTTTTAATAAATGTATACTTCATACGCGGTCGAAGTTGGTGTAGTGTTGCTAAGCTGGAGGAACATTTATGATTTTAAAACTGAAATTATCTCGTTTGTGATAAATCATTGAACATAATTGACAGCTGTAGTCGAGGTATACGTCTTAAATGAGGAAGATAAGGCTAATATGGGGTCCATTTAATATCTTTTCGGTTATATATTAGTGGGACCCAATCAGAAAAAGTTTTGATTGTTTCTAGAAAGAACATCAACAATTTACCTGTATGTGAAATACAGCCTACTTTCAGAACTTGAGCATTGTCTATAATTTATTGATGTAAATTCAATTGACTGTCCTTTAAATATCGATTTTTGATTGGTTTGCACGACAGGGTGACATTCGAATAGTTTTCTCGGAGTAACAATCTGTTTTATGACTCTCTTAGCTGTGTGTTATGTTTATAAAGGTCAAAGGACAATGATATGGTTCACTACAAGAAAGAAAAATTACCATTGATTGTTTTCTTGTTTACACAAGAATTGCATAATTATATCTGTATATATTTACCAATTATATACTACTGCAAGATTATGATTCTAAGAAATTCCGTCAATTAATCATTTTCGTAGTTAAGAGAAGTAAAACCAGTGCAGACCGTAGACTGTCTTGAAAGTTCCTTAAATACCAATGAAAAAATTTAAGGGAGACAGAATATTGGAATTCATTGTATGTAAGAATTACACAAATACGGTGTTTTGAAATACAGATTTTATTTTATCTGACCATAACATAACAGTAGATAAGTCTATAACTCTTGCATGCATATACCGACAAGTTTACTAATCAGTTGATACGACAGCATAATATAAGAAATTTAGAAAGCAGTTTATACTTTGATATATAATGTTCTTTTAGTAACATTCAAGACAGTATTTAAGAATGGTAAGTACTTTTAAGAGTATATTTCTTTACCTTACCACAATAAATAAATAAGTAATCACAAAATGATCTTCCTGATCATTTTTACGTCCATCATTATTTTTATCTAATGAACCGTTTATTATGTAAGTGTCGTTCTTTTGTAAGATTCAGAAAACCTTGTTTTTCGTTAGGTATTTTAAATGTCCATACTACTGTTTTGATTTATTACTGACTGAGTATGGCTTCAAATATTTGACACAGTTATATATATGATATATAATGAATGCAGATTGACCTCTTAAAATACCAATTTACACCTTGAAGTATGTAAAGAACAATCGAGAAAGAAAAATGGATTGCAGCACATTATATGTCTCAACACATTAAGTAAATAACTGTTAATTAAAAAAATATGCCGTTAGTGTGTAATGAGTGTTGTTGATTAGGATAAAACATCCATTTTTTAAAATTTTTCTAGCATACGTATTTGCTCTGTTCTAAAAAAATAGTCTCTACGATTTCAGATTAGTGAACGAAAACTATATCATATAATTTAACATTACATTATATTTATCATGAACATTAATTTATTATTTTGCCTTGTATAAATCTCTGTTTTTCAAAGATAATTGTGGTGAACAACATATGGCATGGACATTCATCGGAGTTATGATAGGCGTAGTTTTAATCTTTATTTTGGGGGCAGTTCTCAAAGGATGCAAGTGGAATAATCGTAAGTATTGCAACATGTAGTGATAATGGTATACCCATCTGTAAATTTTAAGGTAAAAGGATGTTTTCCTTTCCTTAACAGCCTTTCCCTCTACCGTTTCAAAATTTGATTCATAAATTAGATTTACTATTGTAACTTTCTGTACTAGACATATTTTTTGTCATATTGTTTCAGTAGTTGAAATGAAATAACTAAAATACTTTTTGAAAGTTCCGTTTACCGTTAAGTTGTCTGATTCATTATTAATATAGACGTCTCCGTGACTTTTATATATAACTTTCGTGTTGCTCAGTCATTAGTTTACTATGTTGTGTTTTACATACTGTTGTTTGTCGATTTCTTTTATTGCCAAAGCGTCGTCAGTTTATATTAGACTTATTAGTTTGAATGTTCCTTTGGTATCTTTCGCCGCCTCTATTTTATTAGATAACTAATTTCAGGATATTGCAAATCACTTTTTTTTTATCCAATACGTACTTAAGCTTGTTCTACGATGTAATGTTTTTCAACCTAAAATGGCTTTCCAAAGGGCATTTTCACTAAAACTTCCACATAACGTAAATTATGTGACAGCATCAATCGGTTTTCAACAGTGTATTCCGAAAGAATGACAGACCTACCATTGGTGTTCCTGTCAATAAAAGAGTACACCATAAAGTAAAAATATAAGGTTTGCTTATTTTCTTTTAATTAATGATTACCAAACTGTGATATTCATATGCTAACTTCAAAATATATTCAAAATTCAATACTGTCTCCAACTTATAAACCAGCTTATTTTAAGATCCTTAATTGTATTCTGAGTATGATGCTATGAACTAGTCGGTTTATTTTGTTTTGATTTAGTCTTTATCATCACAATTATCATAAATGTTTATTATGCAACGCGTTGTTTCATTTTATCTCCAATTTTTTCGGTTGTAAAATATTCAAATCTTTTATATAATTTCTTTTCATATGAATCAATTTACTACTTATCTAGAGCTTTTGCAAAATAATTTTTTCCAAATAAAAATCTAATATAACAATTTACCCTGTGTTTTAAATAAATAAAAATGCATTTATTCTTTTTCTATTCAAGCGCCAAGAGAAAAATGTTGTGGGAGTTGTTGCATGTTTAGTGCACTATGCTACTACGGTAATTCATTTCACAAGTTTCTTTCTTCAGCAAAAAAACATTTACCTGGAGAAAAAGCATACATCTGCTTACAGTGAAAACTCTTGTTGAAGATGGTTTTATTCAAGAAAATGTAAAACAGCCGCCATGCAAATCCACACTCAGTAAAAGCGATTTCAACTGCCGTTGTGTCGTTACCTCGAACGGAGACCTTCCTTAATTTATTAATGAAATTAGACAAAAACGAAATGGAAAGACAATCTGTTTAATATTACAAAAATGTAATATTCTATTCTAAAATCGTTCAGGTAATTTATAAGTCATCAGAATAGTCGATATAAAATAATTCGATGAATTATTTACTGTAAACAAATTTTCGCAGATACTTTGTTTGGCGTTAAAGTTCTATACACTTATTGATCAGGGATATATGTTTTTACATATGTCAACTTTTGCACATGGTTTTTTTCGTTTTTAGGGGATAATTATTCAGAATTTGTTTTACAGTAAAATTTTATTGCCTTTTTTTTGTTGTTCTTAAAATAGAAGAATTTCGTTTCAGCTACGAAGGCGTGCATTTGTTTGTTATTGATTACGCTTGTCATCATTATTCCCTTTGTGAGTGGATTACATAGAAATAATTGCAAAGGTGAGCTTACTTCAACAGTTTAAATATTTCAATTTGATTCTTACAAATTCATAGAGTCTTTTCGTGATAAATATTAAAGTACTTCTAACAAGTGTCAAAAGCGACAATAGGGATAAGTCGAAAACGAACAGAAAATGCCATTACAAAAACAAACGAAAAACGACCGCACGACAAACAACAGAATATGAAACAGGACCAAAAATCTGTATGATACAAGCGACAGTAAGCAAGATAATACATAATTGAATGGGTATACAAATGAAATACTCTGTTTAAATAGTTGATCGAAGATGTTATTTTTCTATTTTGTAAGCAATAATTGTGTACCTTTCTAAGTAGTTACTTTCTTGTGGGTTTTCATTTGTCTGATTTTAATCTCGATTTATTGGTTAATAATTCAACTCCTTCAAGTTACCTTTAGACGTATTTTGTCATTTTTGTTTGCTCTTTATATATTTGTCATTGCTTCATAAATAAATGCAACAGTAGTATACCGCTGTTCAAAAGTCATAAATCGATTGAAGGAAAACAAATATAAAACATTTGACTGACACATTTTTCACATTTAATGCTTTATAAATTGACTGGTATTACATATAAATTTTGCTTATATAACGATTGCGATGCCCAGCAACCTTGAATACTTGAATTTATTTTATGGCAGACTCTAAATTGATTCATTTCTTTGAAAAAAACAAATATATTACAAAGGGTTGAGTTCGTGCAATTTCGTGGATGAAATAAATACCAAGGGGTGAATCATAAACCTTGATCCAGGGAAAACAGATAATAGACAAACGCTGAAAGGTTACAGTGATTTTAAAAATTGAGCTTCATAAATCCCTTCAAAAACGGAGTTTCAACCGGAACTCAGGAAGGGAACGAAGTGATTTCTCTGGAGGATGAATCATAAAGGGTTGCTCACTTGTATATTCAGAATGTATGCTTATTTTATAAATGGCAAGTATAATCAATAAACGGCCATGAGGGAATAGAGGAAATAGAGGAAATTGGACAGACACAATTTGTTGTTCAATGTGGTTCCGCAGTGGTCAGTTTAAGCAAGTTGCATGTAAAACTGTTGTAGGAATGACATCGATTTATTCTCAAAACGCTGGCGATGCTTTAATGTTGCTACACAAAAATTTAAACTTCGCACTAAAAACTAAAATCAACACTTGTATCGGTCGTAAAAATCACAACTTTCCAAAAATTGTTAATGAAAGTCAATGGATGAACCAGACTTATCTGTATTTTAAGTGGTATTGTTTACTTCAACTTCCACTACACGAAAAGGCAGATTTACAACAATTTGGGCAATCATGTAAATGTTTGACAAATATAACTACTTTTCTGCCAGATATATTTGCGGACCTACTAATGTATATGTAAATGCATTATTCCTTTGGCATTATTTAGGACGTCCTCAAAGATATGTTAAAGATAATTATTTTATTTCCATAGATTTATTCATATTCCAAAGATATGTAAAGATAGGCTTTAGATTTGCATGCTCTTTCCAGGATAGGAGACATATGCAAAGTTTAAAATTTGCATAACTGTTTTACAGAGGTGTGGGCAGTTTTGAGAGACCGCGGTTTATAAAACATTTACAACCAATGTAAATGCTGTCAAATGTTTCTGTTATATATGCAAACGTTTGTCGATATCGTTCATGCATGTAAAGAAATGTATTTTATTTACTTATACTTTACAGTATTATAGTTATTTTGCTAAATATTGATATTTGCAACACTTCTTTACAGACGTATGCAAAGTTTTAAGAGACCGCGGTTTATAAAACATTTACAACCAATGTAAATGCTGTCAAATATTTGTGTTATATTTGGAAACGTTTGTCGATATCGTTCATGTATGTAAAGAAATGTATTTTATTTACTAATACTTTCCATTATCATAAATATTTTGATAAATATCGATATTTGCTACATATCTTTACAGACGTATGCAAAGTTTTGAGAGACCGCGGTTTATAAAACATTTACAGCCAAAGCAAATGCTGTCAAATGTTTGTGTTATATTTGCAAACGTTTGTCGATTTAGTTTATGTATGTAAAGACATGTATTTCATTTACTTATACTTTCCATTATCATAGTTATTTTGATAAATATTGATATTTGCAACATATCTTTACAGACGTATGCAAAGTTTTGAGAGACCGGCGTTTATAAAACATTTACAACCAATGTAAATGCTGTCAAATGTTTGTGTTATATTTGCAAATGTTTGTCGACATCGTTTATGTATGTAAAGAAGTGTATTTTATTTACTAATACTTTCCATTATCATAAATATTTTGATAAATATCGATATTTGCAACATACCTTTACAGACGTATGCAAAGTTTTGAGAGACCGCGGTTTATAAAACATTAACAACCAATGCAAATGCTGTCAAATGTTTCTGTTATATTTGCAAACGTTTGTCGATATCGTTCATGTTTGTAAAGAAATGTATTTTATTTACTAATACTTTCCAGTATTATAGTTATTTTGCTAAATATTGATATTTGCAACATATCTTTACACAGGTATGCAAAGTTTTGAGAGACCGCGGTTTATAAAACATTTACAACCAAAGTAAATGCTGACAAATACTTGCTTATTTGTGCAAACATTTGTCGGATGTTTTCATGTACGTAAATAAATGCATTTTATTTACTTCATAGTTATTATAGGAAACATTGATACTGTTAAGTTGTCTTTACACAGGTATAGCTTTGCGAGACTGCAGTTTATATCTCGCATGCACAACAAACGTAAATGAGGGTCGTGATAAGAACTAAAAGAAGAAAAAAAAGAAAATAATGTACTCCCAAAAAATTAGATAAAAAGGGTCTAATATATACAGAATAGAAAATAATCATGACAATAAAACATAAAATGTAAAAAAAAAGAGAAATATGACAAAAATTATCATAGAATACAGATATGAAAGACCCCATCCAGAACCTAGTAAATGCTATAAGATGTGTCGATTATTTCGCATTTTCGGAAAAAATAAATCCATATATTGTATAGTTATTTTGCAGCAAAGTTCACGTATTGATGGTTTCAGAGAGTCACACCGAGCGAATATTTGAATTGAAGTAGATATTGTTCTTCCCGATTCAAAACAGAACTGATTGAAGATATAATTAATGATATTAAAAAATGGCAGGGTGCTTTTTAAATGTCGGACTGATGAATAAAATCTCCA